ATAATATATATATATATATATATATTTCCTTCTCTCTTGCTGCTATGTGTTTTGCTGCTACGTCTCCTCAGCTGGAAAGGAAGATGATTCCGAATAGAAGAATATGAATAATATTGAAGTAGTGGAGGGTATTGCAGCAAGGATAAACAGGACTACAATGTGAAGGCAGTCTGTCTACGAAGGACAAACCTGCAGCCTAGGGGTCCCATCGTGCCTTCTTCCCTTCCCTCTGTCCTTAGTTTGAATGCCTTCTCTTTATAATTTATGCAGTTGAAGTTATTATACACATATTCACTTATTTTCCTTATGCCCTTGCATAGCAGTGTTGGGTGCTTAATATGTTTTATCACGTACTTGCTAAGGTTTATGCCCTCGCGCATGCATGGCTGTATCGAGGTTTATCGGCATATTTAGATGCTGTTTATAGTTAGACAAGAGCTAAAAGGGACGGCTGCAAGCTAGCATATATGCATAGCGCACGTTTAGGTATTCCTGGTCCCTTTTCTAGTATATTATACCCCATTAATGGGTCCTATTGTTTGTAGGATAGAGGCATTCCTGTTCGAGGTTTAAATATTCCACTTGTCAATTTATTTGAATTCTACCTTCTTGTTCGGGCGGTAAATGTTTGTTGTAGGAAAGACATCTAGCGACACTTTTCTTTATGCACAAGAACAATACATATATATCACCCTTTATTTCCCTCTTTTTTCCTTCACAAACAACTTATTGTCAATATTTTTATTTTCCTTTTATTAAATGGTTTTAGTGGCCCAATTGTTGTGGTACGAGTTGTAGCTACCATGGCAAGTTGTTGAATACTAAGATAGGTCTTTAACGCTACACCGGAAACGGCTAACCAACACCCGTTAAGGTGCACCCATGCATTCCTATGCGGTCCCAGTTCCATATTCAAGAAGGAAGCTGCGGTGTTGCATGCGCACGCTTATCTTCTCCTTAGTTATACAGACAAGAGGGAATAGATGCAACTTTAGAGGCAATATCAGAAGGATTTTGTTGCCTTGAAGGGAAGAATACCTTATTTACTTCATTTGTTTCTCTCTCTAAGGCAGCTTGCTCCTGTACGTCACCGCGATAGAAACCTCCCTCCCCCCCCAATAGAACACAAGGAAATACACCGTAAAGGAAGCTCTTACACACACGGAATATTTGCTATTTCTATGGAGAGCATAAGAAGAAAAAGAAGAAATAAGTTAAAGGGTCCTGCATGCAAGGAAGCAAATAATAATACGAGGACTGAGACGCTGTCGCGGCGTCTCAATTACAAAAACAGGCACGTATGCCGTTCTTCTTACGTTTATTTATTTAATTTCGTGTTATTAATTAAATGAATACTTGTTTAATTTCTTTTATTTGCGCGTTAATTTACGTGTTTTAACAGCACACCACAAGAAGAGCCAAGGACTGGCGAAACGTTACAAAGCGGCGAAAGCTGCCCATAAACCTCGTGGTCATTAAAATATCTTTATTTAATCCCATACTTAATTCTTTTATTTTATTGTATTTTTAGTCATTTATTTATTTACTGTTGTGTTTATATAAATTTCGTACTAAGCCAACTGCTGCGCCTGCTGAGGGCCCCGCTTGGGGGGCTGGTGTGAGGGCCCCTGCTGCTGCAGCTGCTGCCTTCGGCAGCAGCAAGTGTCCTTGTATGTGCTTGTCCTCTCTTAAAAGGCATTAAATTAACATAATATGCTTCTTTATTAAGGCAAATTGCTCCTTAAAACGAGGCAACAAGCGACACTACACCCGAGTCGCAGCGCGAGCGCCGCAGCAGCAACAGTTCAAGCAGCGGTCTTAGCAGCAACAGCAGCAACAGCAGAGGCCTCAGCTCAAGCGGCAGGAGCAACGGAAAGAAACAAGCGGAAACTGCAACAGTAGCAACAGTGGCGGCGGCAACAACCGCATCAACAGCGACACCAGCAGCGACACCAGCAGCGCCAGCAGCAGCAGCAACAGCAACAGCAGCAGGAGCAGCAAGATGTCGGACACCGAGGACGGAAGCAGCAGCAACACGGCACCTCACTTTCGCCGTTTATCTTTGCAAGAGTTGCAGCAGTTTTGCTTAGGTCCTAATACAAGAGAGAGGTTGCTGCTGTTGTTGCAGAAGACGACACCAGGGGAGCTACTGCAGCAGACAGCAGCAGCAGCAGATGCTGTTGCGCTGCAGCGGCATGCATCCACTGCAGCAGAGAAGGAAACAGCTAAAAAAGCAACACTTCGTGCAACAGCAACAGGAGACACAGCAGCAGCAGCAGATGCAGATCAGCTGCTGCAGCTGCTGCTGCAGACCGTCAAAAGAGCATTCGAGTTAGACGAACTTCGAGATGCCATACTCGCGCAACCAGAGGCAAGAATTTGCTGCTGCTGCTGCTGCTGAAGCCTATGCTGCTGCTGCTGCTGCTGGTGCTGTTGAATCCTCTGCTGCTCCTGATGATGATGATGATGATGATGCTGTTGCATCCTTGCCTCTGCTGCTGTTGAGTCATCTGCTGCTCCTCCTCCTGCTGCTGCTGCTGTAGGTAAGACCCTTGCTAGCTGCTGCTGCAAAGAGCCGGTTAACAGCAATAAGGGAACTTGTTGCGCAGCAGCTGCATCAGATCGCGAAGAGGGGAGACGGAGGTAGGTGATCTGCTGCTGCTGCTGCTGCTACTGCTGCTGCAGTGTTGCTGCAGTGTTGCTGCAGCTATTTGCTGCTCTTGCTGCTTTTGTCTTGTGGCGTTTGTTTGTGCTGCTGTGCTGCTTATGTAGCAATTTTATGTATATAATATTAATAGCATATATAGTAATAATATATATATTTTATATTATTTATTTATTTATTTATTTATTTATTTATTTATTTATTATTATGTATATTGTTATATTATACTGCTTAGTAGTATTATATATTATATAATATCCTATATGTATAATAATATTTATTATTGTTATTTATTTTACGTGAATAAGAGGATATTTATTTATAATTTATATTTATTATTTTTTTCCTCCTGCTGCTGCTGTTGCTGCTGCTGCTGCTGCTGCTGCTGCAGGTGTAGAGTTTATATGGAAGCTGGAGCTGCACCGTCAACTGCTGCTTCTCTTAGAAGACCCGGAGACAGCGGTTTCAAGTAATGCGGAGAAGGCGCTGGCAGAGGTAAGGGTTTAGGGTTTAGGGTTTGGGGTTTAGGGTTTGGGGTTTAGGGTTTAGGGTTTAGGGTTTCGGTAGTAGCATCAAAGCAGCGCGTAGCGGTTAGGTTCCTTATGCTGTTACCTCTTATCTTAGGTAACTGAGTAGGGTTTATTATTGTGTACAGCTTGGGGTTTAGGGTTTACGGTTTAGGGTTTAGGGTTTAGGGTTTAGGGTTTAGGGTTTGTGATTTAGATATGTGTAACAAAGCCCGGTATTCGTCTCGTCTTTGATGGTTCCTTCTTAAAGGAATTAAAACGATTAGCAATAAAAGGATCCGAGGTAAGTGTCTCCTTTTTTACTGTCTCCTTTTTATTGCTGTCTCCTTTTTTACTGTCTCCTTTTTATTGCTGTCCCCTTTTTATTGCTCTTTTTTTTTTTATTTTATTGCTGTCTCCTTTTGTACTGTCTCCTTTTTATTCCTGTCTCCTTTTTTACTGCCTCCTTTTTATTGCTGTCTCCTCTTCTACTGTCTCCTTTTTATTGCTGTCTCCTTTTCTACTGTCTCCTTTTTATTGCTGTCTCCTTTTTATTGCCGTATCTTTTTTTACTACCTCCTTTTTATTGCTGTCTCTCTTTTTAGTGTCTCCTTTTTGTTGCTGTCTCCCTTTTTAGTGTCTCCTTTTTGTTGCTGTCTCCTTTTTTTTCTTGCTGTCTCCTTGTTGTCTCCTCCTCTGTTTATTGGGGGTGTCTTTGTGTCTCCTGATTTTGTCTTTTAAGGGATTTTTTCCTGCTGCCGCAGCAGCAACCACCGCAGCAGCACGCGCAGCAGGAGCAGCAGCAGCAGCAGGAGCAGCAGCAGCAGGAAGGTTTCTTTTTTTTTTTTGTGGGTGTGTGGGGTGTCTTTGCAGACAGTTTGCTTCCGTGTCTTGTCTCCTATTATTTATGGCTCTATAGAACAGGAGGAATTTTTTGCTGCTCTTGCTGCTGCTGCACCTGATTTGCTGCAGCAGCTGCAGCAGCTAATTATAAAAAAGGATGACCCTCTTGCTAGCGCTACTGCATGCGAACTAATAACCGCTGTACGAGAACCTCTTGCTGCTGCTGCTGCTGCTGCTGCTGCTGCTCTAGCGTATCGTTGCTGTTGCTGCTGCTGCTGCTCTAGCATATCGTTGCTGTTGCTGCTGACAGTCATCATATAGCTACTGCTGCTGAAGTGTACAGACATCTAAGTGCATTTAAATGAATATAAAGCCCCAAAATAATGCATGCAGATAAAAAATAAATGATGCATGCATATAGAAACTAAATGATGCATGCAGATAGATAAATAATGCATGCAGATAAAAAATAACTAAAAGAATAAAGCAGCAAAATAATGCATGCATATAAAAAAAACAAATGGTGCATGCAGATAAAAAAAATGCATGCATATAGAATAGTGCATGCAGATAAGAGAAAATGCATGCATATATAAAATAAGAGGTGCATGCAGAAAAGAGAGTATAAAGCCCCAAAATAATGCATGCGTATAAGAAAAATAATTGATGCATGCAAAAAAAAAAACAGCTCCCGTGGCTCAGTTGGTTAGAGCATTGGTCTTATGAACCGAAGGTCAGGGGTTCGATCCCCCTCGGGAGCACTTATTATTCTATTTATTTATTTATTATTCATGTTTTTTATGTCTTTATTCCTTTTATTTATTATTATTGTATTTAATATACCTTTTAGGTGTATATACACCTTATAACGCCCTTCTTGTCATTATATATTGCTGCTGCAACGGCTGTTGTTACGTATTTTTCTTATTGCTGCTGGTGCTACTCATTCATTTTTTTTCGGTGTTATGCATCCTCCTGCTGCTGCTACTCATCCTCCTGCTGCTGCTACCCGTCCCGTTGCTGCTGCTGCATGTGGCTGTGTGTGTGTTGTGTGTGTGTGCTGCTATTGTGTCTGTTAGTTAATTAAGTGCCCGTGGGGGTTGGACTATGCTCTTGATCAAAAATACCCAGAGACTATAGCAGGGTACGTTCTGCTGCTGCTGCTATTGTTGCTGCTGCTCCGTGCTGATGCTGCTGTTGTTGCTGCTGCTCGTGCTGATGCTGCTGTTGTTGCTGCTGCTCGTGCTCCTCGCATTTGTGTTGCTGCTGATCGTGAAGATGTTGATGCGGCTGTTCCCGTTGCTGAAGTTTCTGCCTTTGTGTCTGCAGCTGGTTTGCTTTGTTGTTGTTGCTGCTGCTGCTGCGTTTGCTGCTGATTATTTTTTTCTGCTGCTGCTGATGCTGCTGCTGTGCTTAGGCTGATAGCAGAAGAAGAAGATGTCCTTGAGTGTCAGACACCCATAAGGCTGCTCGCTCGCATGACTGCGGAGGTGTGCTGCTGCTGCTATTCTTGCTGCTGCTGCTGCTGCTGTTGCTGCTGCTGCTGCTGCTGTTGCTGCTGCTGTTACTGTCGCTGCGGCTGCAGCAGATTTTGGTATATAGAGGGATAGCAACGACACCAGCCGCTGGTGCTGCAGCACAGCTGCTGCAGCAGCAGAGGCAACAACAACAACAATAACAGCAACAACAACAGCAGCAGCAGCAGGTGTATCTGTGTTTATTTGCTGCTGCAGCGCCCATCTGAATTTGTAAGACTATACAACCTGCAAGGAGGACTGTTAGGGAAGATAATTGATGTAAGTATTTTATCTCCTTTTGTCTCCTTTTTTTGTCTCCTTTTGTCTCCTTTTATTTGTCTCCTTCCTCTTCGTGTTTTTTATAAGAAGGGGAAGACAACAAAAGGAGACAGAAGAAGAGACAGAGAGGCACAACGCAATATACATACACAGAGGGGGAGAGGAGGAGAGACAGGGGGCACCACAGCTGTTGTACATTTTGCTGCTGTTGCTGCTGCTGCTGCTGCTGCAGGATCTTCTCTCCTCGTCGTCCAAGGAAAAGAAGGTTTGTTTCTTCTAGTGTTTTCTTCCTTCATCTATCTGCTGATGGTGTTTGCTGTTAAGGGTTTATATATATAGACCATTTTTAGGGTTTAGGGTTTAGGGTTTAGTGTTTAGGGTTTGAATGGGTCTACAGGGTTAGATCAAATGTTTGCTGTCTGTGGCATTTAGGGTTAGGGTTTAGGGTTTAGGGTTAATGGTTAGGGTTTAGTGTTAAGGGTTAGGGCTTAGGGTTAAGGGTTAGGGTTAGGGTCCTTTTTGTGTGAATGCTTAAAATGCTGCATTTGCTGCTGCTGCTGTTGGTGTTGTTGTTGTTGTTGCTGCTGCTGCTGTTGCTGCTGCTGCTGCTGCTGTAGGAAGAAGGCATTGTGTTGTGGGGTACTCTTTGCTCCTTTCCTGAATGTGCAGAAGAAGTGATAAAAAGGCTTCCCTCCTCGGCTGACTGTGTCCGTGTTGCTGCTGTTGCTGCTGCTTACTGTGCTGCTTTTGCTGCTCTTGCTGCTGCTCTTGCTGCTGCAGTTGCTGCTGCTAGGAACGGCCGCAATGGATGACCGCAGATTGTGCCCTGCCCTCCTTATGACTCCGCTGAGCTGTTGCTTGGTAGCATGACCCGAAGTACAAATGCGTTTGTTGCTGCTGCTGTTGCTGCATTTGCTGCTGCTGTTGCTGCTTGTGCTGCTGTTTCTTAGGTTGCTGAGAGTGTGATGGATGTTCAAGATGTTTCTTTATTGGCAATGAACACTTGGGTGTTTGTGCTTAAACCCTTGTAGGTCCTTGCTGCGCTGTATCTGCTGCTGCTGCTGCTGCTGCTGTTCTTTTTTCTGCTGTATTGCGGTTGATGTTCGCCCCTACTTGTGCTTTGCTGCTGCTGCTGCTGCTGTTGTTGTTGTTGTGTTGTTGTGGTGCAGCAAGGAGCCAGATGTACCTTTACCTGAATCCCTTAGAAAGGTAGTAGACTCGAAACTCACATCTAAGGCAAGTACAACAGCTTTCGTAACTATTGTTGCTGCTGCTTTGCTGCTGCTGCTGCTGCTTTGCTGCTGCTGCACTTGCTGTTGCTGACCCCTTGCTGCTGGTGCTGCTGACGTTTGTGCAGGTGCTGGACTGCGTTCTTCAGAGACCTTTCCCTGAGTCTCGGCAGCAGTGCTACGAATTGCTGGAAGGTGAGATCCTTGCTGCTGCTGCTGTTGCTGCTGCTGCTGCTGGCTCTGCTGTTGCTGGTGCCTGCGTCTCTGGTCCTGTAGCTGCTTGGGAAGAGGTGCATGGCGTGTGCTGCTGCTGCCTGTGCTGCTTGTGCTGCTGCAGTTCTTGCACCGTTTGCTGTTCCTACGCAGACATTCTTTTCTTCGGACAAATTCAGGCAATTAATGATTGATACATCAGTAGACACAGACTATAAAGGTAGCACAAACCCTAAACCCTAAACCCTAATAAACCCTAGTAAACCCAAATAAACCCGTAGACTGGGAAGTTTGCAAACCTGTGTATTCAAGGGGGATTAGGGTTTAGGGTTTAAGGTTATAATAGGGGGTTATATATTTTTTATCTTTTTTTCTATGTGGCTATGCATGCGTTATCAGTACGAGAAGCAAAGCATGCATTTGCTGGGGCTGCATGCGCTAGTCAAGGAGAATGGCTAAAAGAGGCATTAGATCCCTCCTTCTGGGAAGAATTCTCTCGGTTTGTTAAGAAAGGACCCTTCTATACTTCATCAGGTCTGTTTTATAGATATAGTATATAATAATAATAATAATAATAATAATAGTAATAATTGTATATAATATTTAATGCATTATATATATAAATGCAGGGGAAGAGTCTGTATGCAGTCAAGAGATGTATAACATGCACAAGGCTTGGTGTCTTGTTTGTGTCTGCAGCTGCACGTTCCATCGCCACTGCAATATAGGAACGCTGCTGCTGTTGTGGCTGCTGCTGCTGCTGCTGCTGTTGTTGTGGGGCAGCTGCAGTCAGCAGCAGCATCTCCCGCAACTCTACACGGTTATGCAACTCTACGCGGTTATGCATGCATGCGGGCTGAATTAAGGACAACAGGACAGCGACAGATATACACCTATTGCCAATAATATCCCTTTAATCTTACCGTTAATAAAGAGAGAGAAACAAACACTAAAAACAGACCCTCGAGGGTTTTATAGAGTGTCTCGATGGGTAAAAAGAGTCGCATATAGACAGACTCACTATAACCCCCCGCAAACAAAGAATAATAAAGGAAAAGGAGCAGCGAATGCTTCTCGCCAAGACGATTCTTTTAATCATTTTATCTACCTCTTATGGTGTATTGCACCTCTCTTAGTATTCGTCCTCTATGTATGTCGCCCTTATTTCCTGGGTATCGGTATGCGAGTGTTCGTAGCCGTGCCGGCTTCTCCCTAGTAGTTGTTTCTATACAAGAGGAAACTAAGATTGAATTGTAGAAGGGGAGAAGAATAAGCTGCTGCCTACTCTTAAATTGGGTCTACAGACACTACAGTAGCTACAGAGTTGCACAGGGCTCGTGTGCTCTGAGTTCCCATTTTGTCGGCATAGGGCGTCAGCAGTGCAAAGTTGAATTGTTGGAAAAACTATGAATTTTAGATAAATATACGCTTTTCATGATTAATTCATTCTGAAACAAACGAAAATATAGTTTATTCGCCATTTAGAAGCACTTTTTTTTGCCGAGATACCCCTTACCTACACCGCCGTGCGGGCTGCAGCCGCTGCCGGGCTGCATGGGAGGCTGTAGAGCTCTTTTTCTGCTTGTTTTTGGCATCTGACGGTGTATTTTTGTTTTAATAGAACAAATAAAGCAAAAGTAACTGCGAGAAGGTGAAGATCACCGACAGAACCGCGGAAGATCAGCCTTCCGCTGCGCGGCACACCCACCCATGTGACGCGCATCCTTCGTCTTGCCGCGGCTGTTGATGTCGCCTTGTACACATGACGACATCATTTTAAAGTATTTTCATATATTTAGTCGCCTCTATGCAGCGGCAACAACCAGCGAGCCCGCCACAGCCGCGGGGGCCCCGCGCCAGCTGTTAACCGGTGGTCCACGCGGATACACCGCAAGCCCGTAGGCAAAAGGTGCCTTCTTAGGACTCTTTTACGGGCCCCTTGTTCTTTTTTAGGCCCCCCAAATAGTTCAGGGATAACGTTGCTGGGTAGCAGCAACAGTGGAGCCTGACTCTTTATTCGGCTGCTGCCGGTGCAGCTGCTGCTGCATCCACAGCACGTAAAGCTGAACCGGCTGCTGCTGTTGCACCAGCCGCATAACGGGAGCAACAGATACTGCAGCAGACATAGCATCCTCAGCAGCAACAGCAGCAGCAACCTGCAGCAAAAATGGAGGAATCTGCACAGCCGCAGTACTACTATGACTCCTCCGCTAATCAGTGGTGGGTGTTTAACACCGTCCTAAACCGCTGGGAGCTTTGCCCTGAGACGGAGCAGACAGACACAGCAGCAGCACAGCCTGAAGATGTACAGTATCAGGGAGAGCAGCAGCAGCAACAACAACAGCAGCCAGCTTCAGAAGAGGGGTCTGCTGCAGCTGATGCTGTCTCCCCCGAAGGCGAAGCTCCAGCAGCAGAGGGAACAGCAGCAACAGCAGATCCATCTGTGCCTGATTCAACAAAGACACCAGCAGAACCAGCAGCTGATCCAGCAGCAGCATCCTTATCTGGTGAGGCAGCAGCTGCAGCAGATGCGCCTACACCAGCAGGTGACACAGCAGCAGGAGAAGCAGCAGCACCAACAGGTGACACAGCAGCAGCAGCAGCAGCAGCGACAGAATCAGCAGCAGCAGCACCCACAGCAGCACCAACGGCACTAAAGGACACGAAACCAGGTGGTAAATCTCGTCGTCGTACAACTGCTGCTGTAGCATTTGCTCCTATAACATCAGAAGTATCAATCCCCAGTAGAAGCAGCAGCAGCAGCAGCAGTAGCAGCAGCAGATATCTGAGCAGCAGCAGCAGCAGCAGCAGAGGCAGCAGGGATTGGGGTTGGGGCTCGTTAGGTACATCTTCTTCTGGTGATTTTGAGGTCAGAACAGATGATGAGAAAGAGGGAAGAAGTGCAAATAAATTACAAGAATTAAATAAATTAAATAAATTAAATAAATTAAATAAAGAAGAAGGAGAAGAAAAAGAAGAAAAAGGAGAAGAAGAAGAAGAAGAAGAAGAAGAAGATGAATTAGGTACTGCCTTAGAAAAATTAATGACTACAAACTTTTCTAAGAAATTAAAAAATAGAAAAGGAAGAAATTCTTTCTCAGAGAATTTTGCTTGGCTGGGTAGTGGGGGTCGGTCCTCTGCTGCTGGTAGTCAAGAATCTGCTGCTGCTGCTGCTGCTGCTGCTGGTGGTGGTGGTGGTGGTGGTGGTGGTGGTGGTGGTGGTGGTGGTGGTGGTGGAGGAGGAGGAGGAGGAGGAAGTAGCAGTAGCAGCAGTAGCGGTAGAAGTAGTAGGACTAGTAGAAGCAGTAGCAACAGCAGTAACAGCAGCAATAGCAGCAGCAACAGCAGCAGCAGCAGCGAGGGGGAGGGAGGGGAGGGAGAGGAGGAGGAGGAGAATAAGGAACCTATAGTAAGGAGAGTAACAAGAAGAATGACATTTAAGGAGATGGGGGGGTTGGCGGGGTGTCTGCAGAAAGCTGTACAACTTAGGCAACAAATTATTGATCAAGAAAAAGGTAATTTATTTATTTATTTATTTTATTTATTTATTTTATTTATTTATTTATTTATTTATTTATTTATTTATTTATTTATTTAATATATTATTCAATTAATTTGTTTATTTAGTTGTTTATAAGGGGGAAAGGGAAAAAGAATTAATTATATTGGCAATAAATAGTATTTTTACTGTTATTTATAATAACACCGCTCCTGCTGCTGTTACTGCTGCTGCTGCTGCTGTTGCTGCTGCTGTTGTGTAGGTGGTCATGTACCTGGTACGGAGGATTCAGAGAGTAAGGAAGAGGCATGGAAGATAAGAGCAAGAAATACAGCAAAGACAGCAGGAACAGCAGCAAGAGAGAGGGCAAAAAGTCTATGGAAGACAGCAGCAGCAGCAGCAGCAACAACTCATCATAATCAACTGCAGCAGCAGCTGCAGATGCAGCAGCAACGAGTTACACCATCGCATGCAGCAGCACAACGATTCGCAGATATCGTTGCTCTTGCCAGAGCTGCAAGAGCCAAGGGTAAGGAGACGTTCTTGCTGCTGCTGCTGCTGCTAATGCTGCTGCTGCTAATGCTGCTGCTGCTGCTGTTGCAGCTGCTCCTGTTACTGCTCCTGGTTTTTTGCTGGTATTCTGTTTCTTGCGCCTTTTTCTTTTGTTTACTTTTATTTTAATGTATTTGCTTTATTCTATTTTATTTATTTTATTTATTTATTTATTTATTTATTTATTTATTTATTTATTTATTTATTTATTTGTTTGTTTGTTCTTATGTATATAGAGGGGAATAGAAGAGGGACGACGGGTGTTGGTTTACTAGAAGCAGCAGCAGCAGCAAATCCTGCTGCTAGTCCTGCTTCTCTATGGGATAAGCGCAGCAGCACAACTGCTGCTGTTGCTGCTGCTGCTGCTGGTGGTCGTATCCCTTTTGTCCCTGAGGATCCTTCCTTCGATCCCCGTATATATGAGGGGTTGTCTGCTTCCTTACAGAGGGCAAGAAGGTATACTGTTGCTGCAACTACGCATGCAGCAGCAGCTGCTGCTTCTCCTGCTGCTGCTGCTGATTCTCCTGCTGCTCCTGATGCACAGCCAGAGGCGAATACGCCCACAACGTCATTCGTTACCCAAATAAGCTCGCCACGCTCACCAGGCAGGCGACGGTAGCGGACGTGCAGCAGCAGCAGCAGCAGCAGTAGATGCTGCTGTTGCTGTTGCTGCTCTTGCTGCAGCTGCTGCTGCAGCTATATAGTTACAGTTATAGGCTGAGACAGAAACAGCAGGAACACAGACATAAAGTCTCCCGTTTGATGCATGCAGCCCCAACAGCAAAATCATAGATTGCTGCAGCAGCAGAACGTTTTGTGCTGCTGCAGCAGCATAAACAGCGGCCCGTCCAGCTAGCTAGCTAGCTATCTAGCTAGCTAGCTAGCTAGGTATCTAATTAGAGTGATGGGTCGCTAGATAGCCAGGTAGCCGACTGCCTAGCTAACTGGCTAAGTAGCTAGCCAGCTAGCTAGATAACTAGCTAGCTGGCTAGATAGCTAGATAGATAGCTAGCTAGCTAGCTAACTGGGTAGCATCTCCTTTTTTGGCAGTAAATGGTCTCTTTGTCTCCGGCAGCAACATAAGCAGCAGCAGCAGCAGCAGCAGCAGCATTAACAGCAGCAGTTGTGGCAGCATTAACAGCAGCCGCAGCAGCAGCAGCAGTAGTAACAGTTGCACAAGCAACAGATTATTCTTTTCTTTGTTTGTTTCTTCTTTCTTTTTTTGTTTATTTCTTTCTTCTTCTTTGCCAACTTAGTTAAATAAAGTTATTTATTATTCTTATTCAATTTATTTTATTGCTTGTGTAAATGCATGCATGCATGCATGCATGCATGCATGCGTGCTGTATACTATATTATATATATATAGTATATACTGTATATTATATAAATATAAATAGTATATGTTGTATATATATGTTTGTATAATGTATAAATATACAGTGAATAGACACAAGAGATGAAGAGAGGAGAGAGAAGGATCTATTGTTAGCAGCAGCAGCAGCAGCAGAGATTGCAGTTAGTACTGCTGCTGCTGCGGCTGCTAGTCGCTTGCATGCAGATTATTATCCTTGTTTGCATGCAGAAATTAAGAAGATATAAATAAAAATATTATATAAATTATTTTATTATAAATTAAATATTTAATTAATAATAAGAAGACACACCACACACATAGGGAAAGGGATAAAAAGCCTGTTTTCCCTTGCTGCTGCTGCTGCTGGTGCTGCTGCTGCTGCCAGTTGTCTGCAGGGGATGTTAAATAGCTTAATAGGGAAATAAACTTATTAATAGTTATAAAAAATTATTTTTATATATTTATATAATTAATTAATTAATTAAATTCTTTATAAGAAGAATTTAATAAGAAAGAAGACTAAAAAAAAAGAAGTTTTCTTTTGTTACTATTGGCGCAGCGATTCAGGTGTACGTACAGCTACATAGGAAGGAAACTTTTTTGTTGTTAATATAATGATATAAATTGAGGTGTATATTCAGCTATAAAAGAATAAAATAAAATTAAATAAAAATAAATAAATAAACAGGAAGGAGAAGAAGGACAGATATTTATATGTATATATAACCGTCGTTGCATGCAACAACACAGCAGCAGCAGCAGCGGCTACAGCAACACAACAACAACAGCAGCTGCAGCAGCAACAACAGCAGCAGCTGCTGCAGCAGCAGCTGCTGTTGCCCCACTGTCTAAGTGTATTATTAGTTAATTGTATAAATAAATAAATATAATTTAATTAATTATAATAAATATAATTGAATAGGATGGGATTTGGTCTTCTTTGCGCCGCCTCTAGGGCGGCGCCTCGTCTTCCTGCTGCTGCTGCTGCAGCAGCAGCAGCAGCAGCAACTGCAGCAAATCCTTCCTCTTTATATTTTCCCTCCTCTATACCTGAAGAAAAAAAAGTCCTAAGAAATATATTTCCTTTATTTTCTCCCCAGCGTTCCTTCTCCACCCAACAACAGCAGCAACAACAGCAGCAACAGCAGGCACCATCATCATCAGCAGCAGCAACAGCAGCAGCAGCAGCAGCAGAAGGTACCCCTAAATATAGATTAGTACCCTTTATAAGAGAGGATATATCTGCAGTTATGCAAGAAGTTCCTGATTTTAAATATTATTTTATTGGTAATGAGCAACCATCTACTAATCCTTATCAACATATACCTATGGATATACCTATACTACCTGTACGTTATTTATATATATTTATATATAAATATATAAATATATGTATATATAAATACATGCATGCATGCAAGGGTGTAGGGGTGTAGGGGTGCAGGGATGCATGCAGGGATGCGTGCATGGGTGTAGATATGCGTGTAGGCATGAATGCATGCATGCATGCATGCATGCATGCATGTGTTAATCTGCAAATGCATGAATGCATGCATGCATGCATGTATGCATGCGTTCTGCTGCTGCAGTTGCTGTTGTTGTACTGCAACACAGTGTGTGTATCCTGCATGCATGAATACATGCATGCATGCATGCATCTATGCATGCATGCAGTATATATGATTAACCGTATAAATTAGTATATATAAATATACATATATTTATATGTATATTTTTACATATATTTATCCATATTTATCCGTATTTATCCTTATCTATCTTTATTTATGTATATATTATCCTTATTAATCTTATTTATTTATTTATTTATTTATTTATATATTTATTTATATACAGGAAGAAAAAGGAAAAGAAAATAAATTACCTAAAGGAGACATTGAATATTCAATATTAGAGAATGGATTTAAAATTGCATCTGTTGATAGAGGAGGACTTGTCTCCTCCCTAGGTCTATTCGTTAATACAGGTAATTAATTGTCTCCTTTTTTGTCTCCTTTTTTGTCTCCTTTTTTGTCTCCTTTTTTTGTCTCCTTTTTTTGTCTCCTTTTGTCGTGTATTTGTATACTGTATGAGGACTTGTCTCCTCCCTAGGTCTATTCGTTAATACAGGTAATTAATTGTATCCTTTTTTGTCTCCTTTTTTGTCTCCTCTCTTATGTGTCTCCTTTATATATATATATTAAGTATATGTTTCCTTATATATATAGATAAGATGATAATATAATATAATAATAAATGATAGAATAAGTGTATAACCAATCATTGTATAGAGAATAAAGAATAATAAATAGATAAAAAAGAATAAATAAAAAAGTAAATAAATAGAATAAAATAAATAAATAAATATATAAATATATATATATTTCCTTACAAATATATATATATATACAGGTACACGATGGGAGGACCCAACCAATTTCGGAGTATGTAATATGTTACAATGTCTTTCATTCCATTCAACAGCTCATCTCTCATTCCTAAGAACTGTTAAATCTATTGAACAATTAGGTGCTAATGCTAATTGTATAGCAGGGAGGTAAACCCTAAACCCTAAACCCTAAACCCTAATTATGCTCGTAAACCCTAATGGGCTCTAGTAGACATTCATAGACAGTTATAGATATTTAGTTACAACTGTTAAATCTATTGAACAATTAGGTGCTAATGCTAATTGTATAGCGGGCAGGTAAACCCTAAACCCTAAACCCTAAACCCTAAACCCTAATGGGCTCTAGTAGACATTAATAGACATTCATAGACAGTTATAGATATTTAGTTACAACTGTTAAATCTATTGAACAATTAGGTGCTAATGCTAATTGTATAGCG